GGGGGGGGGCGGAGAGGAGGAGTGGGTGACAGTCATGGCTGCCACCGAGGTAGTGCTCCATTTCCCGGACGAGGGGACTGAGGCCTGAAGAGGGAAAAGACTCGCCGCCCTGGGCTCTTCTGCCTTGGAGGAGGGTTGAGGTGGTGAGTTCTGTGAACCTCAGCTTCTCTAGGGGATTAAAATTACTCCCACAGGGACCCAGAAGATGAATCAGACTTGGATTCTGCCCTGGGGAACCCCCACTCTGATGGGGGAGACTGAGCGTCAGGGTCAGGGTGGTGGAGGCTAGGGTAGAACAGGCATGGGAGTCCACAGGAGGCATTTAGAATTTGCTAAGAACATTCCAGAGAGACTTCCTGGAGGCGGGGGCATCTGAGATGGGTCCCGAAGCATGCAGAGGAGTCTGCCAGTTGAAGAAGGATAGTTACAGGCACGCATTCATCACTCATTCATTCAGCGGGCCTGTCTCCAGGCCTCCCATACGTCAGGCTCCCACACGTTGGCCTATGCTGAAGAGCGAGATCGAATTCCCATAGGGTCCCCCTTTCAAGGAGCGCGCGGCCTGGTAGGGGAACCCATGGGCAGAGAAAGTTGCAGCCGGAGGTGACCGGAATGGGGACGAGGAGCAAAAAGGGCACAGGAGCTCCGAGTGGGGGCAGTGAGGGACTTCCCGCAACAGGAGAGGCTGCCGTTAAGCCCTGAAGAGTGAAAAGGGTTTGTCGTGTGAGATGGGGAAGGAGGTGAGACGTGAACCCGGCAAATGCGGGGCTGAGGGGCGCGGGCTGTATCCCAGGGGCGCTGTCATCAGGGCAGAAGCAGGGGGCAGCTCTGTGGTAGAAAGACCGCGTGGAGGATGTGCTGGAAGGGGAGAAACTGGAGGCGGGGAGACCTGCAGGGAGGCTCAGATGAGGATCCAGGTGTCAGAGGACGAGGCCCGAGCAGGGCCAGGGCTGTGCGGACACAGAGCAGGAGTGAGACGGAGTCGGATGGGCTCTGCACGGACACTTTGAGGGCTGCGGGAGGGTCAGGGACGAGGAGGGGGGCCGCCAGGGGTGTGGCAGCCCCCCCCAGGTCTCCCTCCAGGACTCTCACCTGGGCCTGGGCGGTCTGCAGCTCCCGGCCCGCCCGCTCCCTGGCGACGGCTTCCTCGTCCAGCTGCTCCCGCAGCCCTGCCACCTCGGCCTCCAGGCCTCGCACCCGGGACCCCAAGGCCAGCTTCGCCCTGGTCTCCTCTTGCAGCAGCTCCTGCACACGGAGGGCAGAGCGGAGGTCAGGTGAGGGCGGCAGTGGGGAGGCGTGGGGGGCTGGGCGTGGGGGCAAGGGGGGGCCGGCTCACCTGGGCATCGTGAAGCTGGGCCTCCGTGCTGCTCAGCTCCTTGCTCAGCCGGATGGCTCTGGACTCGGCCTCACTCAGGGCCCCAGACACGTTCTCCAGTTCAGCCTGCGGGGAAGAGGCACCTTCCAGTGGCGGCTTCCAGCCAGTGGCCCCAGCCGCTCCTCCCCCTCACATCCCTGCCACCCTGGGCTGGAGGGGACGTCAAGTGGGGCAGGTGCTGTGGAAAACAGCCTGGCGGCTCCTCAAACGGTTACACGACAATTCCACTCCTAGGCATGTGCCCACAAGAACGAGAAACGTAGATCTCTGCAAAACCGCGTAGGGAATGTTCTGGGTGGCACCATTCGCCGTGGCCCAAAACGTGAACACAACCCAAATGTCCACTGGCTGAGGCACAGGGGAACGAAATGGAGCGTCTCCGTACGATGGAAGGAACGAAATACAAAGGAACAAAGCGCTGATAACGCGCTATGGCACGGGTGAACCTTGAGAGCATTATGCTGGGTGAAAGACGCCAGACCCAAAAGGACAAACATCGTATGATTCCACCGATACGAAACGCCCAGGGCAGGGAATTTAAAGAGACAGAAAGGGGAATAGGGTTGTGTTTGGCGGCGGGG